CAATCTTGATATTCCCATGGATCGCAAGGCTTTTATACTGCTACTAGGGCTCTCTACACATCGCTTTATTGGGAACAAAAACCAAGATGTTTTTACCGCCTTTGTGTTTCTTCTTCTTTCTGCAATTCCCATATTGAGCACTCTTCACATAGAATGTTATATCGCGCTAACTTTGTATTACCTATCTCTGAAGTTTTACTGTTATAAATTATATTCATGACACACTATAAAACTTTTGAATAAGCCCTAAAAAGGCTTCCATTACTAGGAATACAAATATGTGTCAAAACATGCCACATCTTTTAATTTACCGCAAATAAAAAATGAGCATCCTATGATAAAAATATGATATCTCTCAACTCATAAATAGTTTATCTCTAAAACTCTTTGAGTATTGAAATAGGCTCAAAGATATAAAACAATGCTCAATCTCATCCCTAAGTTATACCATTTAGTGACTTTATCAATAAGTGATATGCACATCACAATATAATTTTCACAACATGAAATCAAGTTGCACACTTCTCAATAAAATAATTATTTCTTTCAATCCTCAAAGAATTTATTCTTGAAATATTTTACGTTGAAAACTAGACTCAAAACCAAAACATAACATCATAGTATGAATCTCAAATAATACTTTTCTTTAGAGAAATAAATAAGTGACATTCACGTCACAAAATATATCATACTGTAGAATTCCAAGATGAACACTATCTAGTAAATTTATATTTTGTCTCTACCCACAATGAGTTTCATTTTCAAACCCTTTTTGTTTGAAAGTAGACACAAACCTCATATCACTATGTTAGTAGGTTTGACAAATATAAATATTCACATCTCATTGAAACACATCAAACTACAGAAATTCATAATGACCTCTCTCTAATCAAAATTTGTTTATTTCTTATTTCCCACAGATATGTCTCTCTCAAATAATTTTTATTAAAACTAGACTTAAAGGTCAGTCTAGAAACTTAGTTTAGGCCTTGAAACATTATGTTAAGAATATAAATAAAATCATGTTTTCCAAGTCATTGAAAATTTTTATTGTAGAAAGCAACATTTGCGCTCCCTTCAATAAAATGACCATATCATTCAAACCATAATGGTTTTCTTCATGAAATTATTTTTATTTGAAAATAAATTCAATTTGATGAGTTACACTCAAATTTTATAAAAAAAAAAATCATTTGTTTGGTAGAAAATTTTATGGAACTCATTAAACAGTACCTGGATTTTGCTCGGTAAGAACTGACATCTCTTAATGATGAGTCCATAACCCCCAATTCCCCCAAAATTTCCTACTGAAATTTTGTATGTAGATCCCACTCTAAAAAAACTCATCATATCACTGAATTATGTAATAGATAAATATATCATTATCTTCTTCATATCACTGCTCCAAAACAGCACAAAATACCCCATTCTACAGAGTGTCATTTATGTGTTTGAACATGCTAATAATTCTTCTAGAGGTGTAACACTTCGCCACAAAAGTCATTAGCTTTCTTATATCTTATTCCCAACTCACAAAAAATAGTGAAATAAAATAGATAGGGCAGCAAGTAGATCTACCTCTAATACCAATGAAAGTTGGACTATGTGATAAAATATAGTGCATGTGTAAATTTAAAATTTTCTTTTCTTACACTGGCAAAATCACTTAAAATGTCCAATTACAAATAAAATCACTTTTTTAAAATAAATAAATAAGTAAATACGGTTCTCACTTGTTACTACTTAAATACAACTCATTTATTCAATAAAAAAAAACGTAATACATTGCTTTATGGAAATAGAAGAGTACGACAAATAATTAAAGTAAAGCAAGTAAAGTTGGCAGAGATTATTTTAACCGAGCTTAGTACACTCCACATCGAGTATCCTCCTTCTAATGGTGCCTATGATTAGTGATCGATTTTAATTTTATAAAGTATGACAAAACCCTCCAATAGCATATAGATCTTATCTAGAATCAAATTGCTAAAACCTCAACGCCTTAGCCTACCTTAAACCCGTTGGCATAATCTTAGAGAGATGAGGAGAGAGATAAAACCTTTAAGTGGTCATGCCCCATTCTTCTTCCTTTCTATGAGAGAGAATGTAAGAGAGGGAGAGAGAACCTTCCTTGCTTGGGGTGTGCCCCCCTTTGCAACCTTCTAAAGAGAGAGAGACCTAGGTGGGGCGTGGCCCCCTAGAGATTGAGAGAGATGAGAGGTGCATATAATTATGAGAGGGAACCCATATTTATAAATTTTAAATGCCTTAGGGTTTGCTATCTTTAGTAATATCAAATCTAGACCATTGATCTAAGGAGACTTGTGGGGGTGAGAGATGTGAGTCATCAATTCCTTAGATCCACCACCAAGATTTAAAGGAATGTACTAGAACATTAGTTCCATTTCATAAACCTATTCCCATCAAATATTTAAATGAAAAAAAAAATACTCATACATTCTTTTTTAATGGATATTCATTCCTTATTCATTCAATATTTGATAAATCAAAATATTTTGATTAACAAGATATACTAAATTTCATTATCTTGATTCCTTATCCAATGAGGTTTTGCATCAAAATGGAAAGCCAACTTGCAATGAGGCTTCATTTCACAAGATAAAAAGTCCATCCTCCTATGGGTGGGGCGTGCCACCCTATGTGGCCCCTCATGGGCTCCACCCTATTGCAACATGTGATTTAATTAAAAGCGGGCCTATGGCTCACAATGGGGCCCCACATATTTTTAATGAAAAAATATTCTAATGATTTTGAAAATAAGCTTTTACTTTTCTTTGATTATTTAAAATATTGGAAATTGATTTTATTTTGTATTATAAATCCAAATGATAAAATTAAAAATATCATGGAAATCACAAAAATTCAAATAATCGTTCCAAAAATCATATAACATAAAATTAATTAAAATAAGATAGTTTTGATGGGAATCAGATCTATATAGGTCTAGGAATCATGAATATAGTAGAGCGTTCCACCTGCTACGGTTCATTTGACCCACAGTCTACTGTAAGGGTTCATGATTGGCACCAAAGTCAACCAATATGCTAGGGAACGTAATCCCAATCTATAGACTACAAGTTCTCCCCAAGAGACGAATGTATGGTTCCTCAGACCATGCTGTAACCACGGCTCCATGGGCCATAGGATAACGTCTTGTACATGTACACACTTCACCCTCAATGGTGTATTGTTATCTCGATATGGCTATCTATGTATATGCCTTGTGATGGTATATTGATGAGGCTTTGGCCCAGTCTCTAAAAGCCAACCATCACACACAAGGGCCACATAATCCCTCAGCTCACTTATCTGAACAACACGGACCTCATCAAGTGATGACCTACTGAACTTTATCGGTTTAACTCTATACCCAAGTACATTGGGTTTTTCAACTCGATTGGCCTAATATATTGAGCCAAGTCCCAGTATCGGCAAATACTATTTGTCTAGTATGGTCTACAAGAGGACCACACTCCCACTTAGTTTATGTTTCACTATATAAAATGCTTATACAAGCTCTCATAAGACCTTTAATGGCCACATAAACCCAACAGCGTATTCCTGGGCTAAGGGAGGCACTCACACCAAATCTCACCATATGTGGTTGAGAGCATATAATATTTTGTAACTCTACAAGTCACATTGTTATTAAGAGAATATGAAAGAAAAAAGAGAGGCTAGCTGCATTGTTTTTTTTTTCAACCATAGGCATTGGGACTTTTTCTTAAAGTTGTAACCTTTTGATTTCATCCAATTTTGAAGAACATCAAATAAGTCATTTTTTAAATTTGCAATAACTTCCTTAATCTCTATATATTTTTCTAAATTATTGGCTACAAATATCGAAAGTGTGATATTTTTTATATTTATTGGTCGTCAATCTTAACTACTTCCTCTTCTATACTCCAATTATTAACTAAACTTGCATTTCATATACTCTGTCTTACTCCAGCTAATTTTAAAACCTTTATAATTCTATGAATTTTAATATTTTTCTTGATCACTGATTTAGATCAATCCGACCATCCAATGCCAATCTATAGGGTAGACAATCACCATACTAATCAAGATTTTAAAACATTGATTTCTCCAAATGCAACATCAAAAAAAGGGAAAGTTTCTATACTTATCCTGAAGATATATACTCCCCCTCCATCCAACCGTCCAATTTAGATCAAGTGAGCTTGACGATCTAAATCCGACACTTCAGAGTATTTTATTTTGAATTTTATTTCTACAAATTATATGAACATGAAAATGAGGCGCACCTAACAAAATATTTTTGATAAAATATGATGGCTAAAATACTCTTAAAACTTTTAAAGGGATTTTGGTTATTTTATTTTATTGAAAATATTATTTTTATATATTTTTACAGGTGAAAGTTTACGAGAGGGATGAACGCCCAAATTTGGTGTAAAAATATTTTGCCATCTCAGGGGGTTAGATAGGGAGAAGTATCAAAGTTTTGTACAATGGGAGAAATATAGAAAGCTTTTGCCCAAAAAAAAATGCCCATCAGAAAGAGCCTTCATGCAGGCGCCTCTCCCTTTCTCTCACTAGATTCTCTATTTTATTGTAAAACAAAACTTGAACAATTAAGATGATGATGGAGCACAGGAGGCAACTTTACCATGTTTGTGCAAATACACATGGGAAAAGCTTTCCAAAGGTTTCTTGCTTTTTGAGTTTTGACCGAGCTTTCTCTCCTCCTCTCTCTCTAACTCCTCTCTCTTCCGTCTCCTCCGTCAACCGTACGTCCGCGCCAGTAGTGATGTCACCGTCCATTTCTCCGTTAAGTGAGACGGTACGCTTTATCACCGTACCATAACCTCATGCATCATGATCCATGCATGCATGCATGGATGCATGGGGCCATAGGGTTTTATTTAAATATTTTCCAGGGCCAGGAAAACGACAGCTGGGACAGACCATCCATCCATCCATCCATTCATAACCCCTCTTTCTCTCTCTTCCCCACTTTCTATAACTCTCTTTCTCTCTCTACCTCCCTCTTGCGTAGCCCGTGCTTTCTCTCTCTTGTTCTCGAGGCGCCTCTTATCTCTTTGCCGGCCTTCGATCTTCTCTCTCTACTCTGCGCGTATTGCCTCTCGATCCATCAATGTAAGTCACTGTTCTTGGTTTGAAAACCCTAATTTCCACTGCAATTCCTCGTAATATTTCATATCCCTCCCTTTTCCCTGTGATTTACTCATCTTTGCCCTGTGAATTTTGTGTTCAGTAAATAACTTAATCTATTGTTTTGTGCATGTTGCTTGTTGCTGATTAGGGTTTTTGATACGCTCTTCTCAGGCCTAGGTTTATTGGTCACGTGGTCAATTTGTTTTAATATGTTAATTAAATCTGCTTGCTTTCTTTTAGTTTCACGAAGATCTTGGGTTTTCGTCTGATATCCTTCGTTGTCTCTCTGGTTTTTTTTGGGGTTTTTGTTTCTGTCCTGAATTCTCTTATCCTTTTGTTTGAGAACATTTGTGGGGTGTACTTTGGTACTTATTGTTTGATTGTGATAATTTTTTGTTTTCATGTTTTAATTGTAATTTGATACTGTTTTGTGAAATTTATTTTATATTATATGCATGAAAGAGAATCTATGAATTATTTCAAATATTTGCCTATGCAAGTTGGTTTATCATGTTGTTTTCACTTTTTAACATATCTCCAGAATAAGTGCAAAGGGGTGCTGTGATTGGTTCCTGATTCAACCTTATTATTTCACGATGTCCTTATTATGATCTTAAATTTCCACGTCTCAATTTGACCTTGTTACGTTTATCCACAAAAATAAATATAAAAGAAAACGAAATCGATCTTTTTCTGCTGCCTGTTAGTCTACTGGGCTCTAATTCTGTAGGGTAACAGTTATAATATTTTAAGTATCACTATCAATATTGGAAAAAAAAAAGTGCTTTTTGGACTGAAGACGGTCCTTAAGTTATGATGGTGGGAGGCCTTGGTTTTTTGTCTCATATTGAACTTTTCTTTTAAATTGTGCTTATTTTATCAATATATTAAAATCCATGCCATGTCATCTTTACATACACACCGCTAGGAGTAAGTACCTTCTATGACCTCTTTGATCAGTTTATGGTGTTTCAGATTTCATGACTTGAGTGATGTGTATTAAGTGTATGTGTAAGTGCACACATATATCCAAACTCTAAGTTAACACAAGGAAGGCCTTAATTTCATTTGGATGTATGATGGAGAATTGCTGCAGTTTATGTTTAAGCATTGGCCAGAAAGAATGCAAATTGTTATTTTTTTCTATTCTTATTAACTAAAATTGTCTTTGAGAAGCAAACTTGTGGAATTTGTTTGTATTGTAATTTGGATCTTGTTCCCTGACCAGTACATTTCCCTTAAACAGAATAACATTGTAGTGTTTAGAACAAGCATTCTGTATCTACTTATTAGTTTTTGATGATTGTGGCCATAGTCTTTTTTTTCCCTCGGAACACACCTTGTGTGTGGTATCCTTGAGATCCACCCTTTTGTATTATATCTTAGCTATGCATATTCCATTTGGGAGTAGGAAGATGGATATCCAACTTACCCCTTTGTGGTGCTCTATGGTTTCTTTGTGCTCACCCAATGAAAAGGAAATGGGTCTATAGAGATTCCTCAAACTGTCTTTCCGCCTGGATATTAGTCTTATCACTTATCTCTATGACTGCAAGTTAGCTTCCTATAGCATTGTTTTATCTTGCCCTGGATTGTTTTCCAATCCCTTGAATAGTTTCTCTTCCTATTGCAAATATCCTGAACTTTCCTACCCTCCATGCCTAATTTACTTAGAACTGCCTTGTGCGTTTAACCTTGATCATCCTTTCTGCTGAAATACCTGATACTGTTGGTATGTAGACCTTTCTGAGCTATGTTCTATTGTTAGATGTGGCTGCTAATGCATTATGTGGTCTCATCAAAGTGGTCTGCCCTTCGTCGCACCACATAAGCCTGCCTAGATGGGCCATAAGGTCCACCCCCCAAGGTGTTGCATAGTGCATATGGTCACGTATGTTGACCCTGCTTTTGGACGGAATAGTGCCTCGAGCTGGGGTAAAAATGTCTTTTGCCCCATCGAAAAGGGGGGAAAGGGGGATAGTTTTGGGGGCTATTTAACCTTCCCAAAACACATTAGAACCAAACCTTTTTGGTTCTAAGTGGATTGAGACAAAGATTTCATAATCAAATTGAATTTTTTGATTAAAATTCCCAAAAAAACTTTTCAGATTTTCCCAGTAACATCTCAAGTTAATTTGATGCTATCAATTGTTGGATATTATTGAGTTGCCGAGGGTCTTGACTTTGAAGGAGATTAAACCAAGAAGTAATCAGCATTTGGCTATATGTTACAATCGCTATTTGTAATTTATTTTAATAATATTGTACTATGCTTGCTTTCTTACTTACGTGGATGATATATTGGCATATTCTTTTGTGTTTTATGGAATTTTCTGAATAAATCGTCCAATTTTGATTTTAATTTGAATCATATTGGAAAAATAAAGACAGAAAATGTGTGTTAACCTCTGTCGATGTTTCAAACAATAGACATTGTGGGCAAATACTGAATTAAAATGCCTACTGTCAAATACACATTCATTTTATTCCATGTCTTTTTATAATTTTTATATATTTTTTTTTATTGTTCGTGTTGAAATCGTTGTCTGCATGCTACAGTATCGACATGCGTAGCACCTTGGACCTCCCTGGTGCCTTGCTCCACACCCCTCATTTGAGAACTTTGCTATTACCTGCCTGATCTTGCACACATTAGACAAAATAAAACCTGTTTGCTTGAGCGCCTTGCTTCCGCAATAACTTTCTATGGAGCTTGTTGAGTTGAATTCTTGCTGATTTGAGAATCATAAAGATCGATGTGTGTGATAACCTGGGAAGCTAGCCAACTAGGACTTTAATAATGGAATGCTTGAAAGATAAAATTCTGCAATCCTTAAAAGACAATGTACTACTTTCTAACCCCCTAATATGTGCATTCCCCCTCCTTCAATTTTGGTTCTCTGTGCTGCTTTAAGATTTGGTCCCTATAATACTCCTTCATTGTGCTTTAATACAATTTCATTAACACAAAATCTTCTTTGGGCTCTACAGTGGGGGGAAAATCTAGGAATATATGCAGGGGAAGCTTACCCCCCCACTTCATGCATTGTATCACACTTTTGACTCCTCTGTCCTAATAGCCATAATCTTTGCCTTCATGAAGTTGCCCCTTGCTTATGTGTTTGAGGTGATGTGCTACACCAGCACTTTGTATGATCATGCTCAGGAGAGAAACTGTAGGTGCTCACTTAGTTGGAACATGGTGCCCGGGATGCCTAAATCTTACTGCGTTGCTGGTGATTTGTCCAACTTGTTGGGTCTTTGGTGAGAAGCCCAGCTTATAGGAGTAGAATGACCATTTCCATAACTTATGATGGTGGAAATAATTTTGGACAGCACACGTTCATTAACACATGTAAGCCCTTGCCACCTAGATTCGTAGGTGTGCTGAAATGATTTTGCCTTCATCTTCTACTTGCCTTGTTCTTGTCATTTTATTACTTTTGGGATAACCCTCAAACCCTTTGTACAATCATATCGAGAACTAGAGTGAGATAAGGGACAATTACCTCTAGCCTCTATAACTTTTCAAGAATTGCACTATTATCTCTTCCTATTTCAAGGCTGTAAGATCCTATCATCTGAAAAATTCTGGAATCACTTTCCTACATGCTATCTCTGTCAGGGTTGTGGAGAGAGAGATTATGGTTGCCTGATTCTGTCATATTTTCTTGCTGTTGTTCGTTATCTTCCTACCAACTTAAAGCAATGATTTAAAAAACGCCTGGTCGGCATGGAATCGCCCGATCCTAGTCACCGATCCATTTTTTAAATCACTGACTTCAAGTAATTTTATCTTAGGGGATATGCACCTATACTTGAGTGAATCAACATTCTATGTAGTTTCAGAGGTTGTCATAACGAATGATTGGTAATTACCAAAAAAGAAAAGAAAAGAATGGTTGGAAATAGTGGACTAGGCCATATAATTGATAACTTATTGTTTTTTTAAGATAACGAATCGGATAGGCATGCTTTAACAGTCTGTCTGTATGCATCATATATTATACCAAAAATATACTAAATATCTTCTAACCAACAATATTGTATCAATTTCTTCAATCATATAAAAACATGACTGCTTTTGAGTTTTAAGTTTGCGAGTTGTAATTTTTATCAAGGCGAAATAAATTTAATGTTGCATTTTGGTAGCAGGGATTTGCCTTCGTTTTTTTCTCCTTTTGAACTCTTTCATAGTTGAGATTTGTTCCATATAATCATATCTAAAACCAAATCACAGGCATCATGAATTCAATAGTAAATGATCCCATTTAATCTTTCATTATTGGTATCTCTTATGATGTCACTGGACCTTTCTAAATGGAAGGATGTGCTCTGTTTTAGTTGAAACTTTTCTTCTGTTGTATAAGTGTGGATTCACATTTTCCTTATTCTCCCTTTACATTCTCTCCTTCACATTATCTTGGATACACTGTTCTTTAGCCCCAATTTGTAATGAACTGGGAAAGAACCCCTTTTACCTCCATCATATAGAGCTCAATGAGATGGCCCACACATCACATTAGTGATGTTAATGGGTGGCTTTTCCAGAACCTGCGTTTCCTTCTGCTAGGGTTCAATAAATTAAGTTGGTATATGTGTTTTCTTGTTAAATAGCTTTTGTTGTATGTACGTGGAAGTGACTTGCTGATCTCTTTTTTAAATTTCATGTGAGGAAATTAACCTTTGAATGCCTTTAATGGGATGATAGTTTATGACTGCAGGACAACCATGAGTGACGAAGGGGAAAGAACTTGCCCTCTTTGCACTGAGGAAATGGACTTGACCGATCAGCAATTGAAGCCATGCCAATGTGGTTATGAGGTTTAGTACCTATGAATAAGTCCTCTTTCTGCAATTGTGGTTCATTTTATTGTGCTCGTATGTCATTTACTATGTTTGAATTTTAATTTCTCCTCACTTTTTCTGGGCGAATTTTGCTTTCTGAATCTGTCAGCTTACTGTGGTGAAGAATTTCTGATGATGAGAATAATTATGTTGAGGTTGATTTTATTTGCATGGTTTTGCTACAAAGTTTGCATTATTTTGTTGATTTTATTTGCGTTACTGTCCTCCGAAGTATGCATTACTCGGGAAATTATACTCATCTATTTCGTGGCCATTGGACTGCTTTGACCCTTGTACTTCTGGGCGAAATTGCTAGTGCTATGCTTTGCAAATTGAAATCCTTACTGCTCTTTATGCTTACGTTTGTTTGACATGGTTTGTTTTTGGTGTTCGAATTTTTCAACAATTTTAAGCAGAAATGAGTCCCCTCTACAATTTAGAGGATTTCATATACATATTGCTTTTATTTTTCATAGCTTTGCTCTACTTATTTTGTGATCTGTTAGCTGTTTAATTTCCTATCATGATTGTTGAAGGAATTCTTAAATTGCTTAGGAACCGGACTGTTATGCCTGAATCTGTTGTCTGATACACTTCTTTTTGAACACTAATGGGGTGTGTTGCTGTTGTTGTACTTTTCTAAGAGTTGCAACATCAAGTGTTGGTTTTTTGCTGATTTCCATCCTCTCACTCTTTTTTAATTGTAATCTGTATTTTTAGATTTGTGTTTGGTGCTGGCATCACATAATGGACATGGCAGAGAAGGATGATACTGAGGGCCGGTGTCCAGCTTGTCGCACACCTTATGACAAGGAAAAAATTGTAGGAATGACAGTGAACTGTGAAAGGTGTGTTTTGTTTTCTATAATATCTGTGAAAAGTCAAATACTTACTGCAATTGGCATTATTAATTAATCTTTTTCCTTATTTTTTCTCCTCAATGGGCATGGAGGAGAGCAATGTGGGTTTAAACTGTAATATCGTTGAGCCATGGTCTGAAACTTGTGTTTTTTCACCTCTGTGTTTGCTTATTATTCTGTGAAGAAAAGGAAGGCTTATTCTATTTAAAATGGAACAGGATGACAGAACTTAATCATGAGAGGAAACAGAAGTCACAGAAGGCGAAGTCAAAAAATTTAGAAGGGAGGAAGCATCTAAGCAATGTTAGAGTGATTCAGCGGAACTTAGTGTACATAGTTGGTGTGCCTAATAATTTGGCAGATGAAGAGGTACAAAACTCCATAATATATATCAGCATCAATTTAATTCTAGCTCATGCTAGTGTAAAGAGTGCTCCTTTTTTTCTTATTTTTTTGGCCGTTAATGTCTTATTTCCATTTTTGTACCTACGTCACTTGAATAGTGGAGTCTTGCTTTGCATTGTTTTACAGTTTGCAGGCTTTTAGCCATGACCTGCAACCTTTTTTTTTTAAAACCTCTTTTATCATTTGGACAGATTCTCGAGCGCAAGGAGTATTTTGGACAGTATGGGAAGGTTCTCAAGGTCTCCATTACTCGGCCTGCTGGGGGCAGTCAGTATTCTCTTAACAATACCTGTAGTGTGTAAGTAGAATATTCTCAAACTATTTACAACATGCTATCATTTTAGTTGAGGACTTTGTCATTCGGCTGCTTGCTAACCTATGATGAGGTTACTTGATGGTTGATTCTTCACTGAAATTCTTGTTTCCTTGCATCATCTATTGTGAGTGTTGGACCTTTCTGAATCTACACTCTGCAAGAGGTTTTCTTTGCTTGGTTTTTGGTGGTAATATGGTTTCTTTTATCCACATTTTAGAATACTTATATCCTTTAGTTTTAATTGTTCTTTGTCCATGTCTTGTACAATTCCAAGGAAGCCCAATAGCAAGGAATTGGCAGTGTAAAAAGTGAGCCAACTACAAAACTGCCTTTTAGGATCTCTGGTTCTAATGCATAGATGGTCAGATCACAGCATGAAAAAGGTTGCACTATCATGTGTCATTACCAAAAAGAGGTTGTGCTATCATGTGTCATTACCAAAGTTTGCTAACTTAACCATTGGCTTGTTTATCCCAGGATTCCTAGTATCGCTTTTATTTACTTGTATAAAATTTCAGTCTGCGTTGTTTCTTTTTTACAAAATATTGTTGAAATACATTTGCTAGATCGTTACATTTGTTCAATGATGTTTATAGTTCTTCTTTGGAATGGCCTTGTGGCCTGGGTGGTTGGGGTGGCAGGGTCCCACAACATTACGCTTAGATTTCCATTCCTACTGAGGTCCCAAGTTTACATTCAGAAAAATGGAAATGTTTATAATATTTGATTCTTGAAAGATGCTTCATAGCTATGTATTTATTTGCCATACTCTTGGTTGAAACTGCTATAATTGAGCATATCTTTTTTTGGTGCAGATATATTACGTATGCAAAAGAGGAGGAAGCTGTTCGGTGTATCCAAGCAGTACATGGTTTTATATTGGATGGGAAGCCATTGAAGTGAGCATGAAATTTAATGTAGTTTTTGGTGAAAAGCAATATGCCTGAAGTTCATGTTAGTTACTTGTTTTACTTGGCTTTTACAGGGCATGTTATGGTACCACAAAGTATTGCCATGCGTGGTTAAGAAATATGGTATGGTGATGCATCATATTGGGGGGTGATATATGTGCCTTATCCTATTTGAGTTTCTTACTGATCTGGTGATTTGGTCCCTTGGAATTGATCACCTTGTGCCATAGACATACTGACTGTGCTTTTGGTGCAGCCTTGTAACAATCCAGATTGTTTGTACTTGCATGATATTGGAACACAAGAAGATAGCTTCACAAAAGATGAGATGGTTTCAAATTGTGCAAGGTACACAATTATTCTTTTTTTTTTATTTACTTGGCCAGGTGCAAGGTACATAATTAGCTGACATAACTTGGTGGTTTCAAATTGTGCAAGGGTCTGCATACTGATGAAGAGAGACATTGCATATACTGAAGTAGACTAGATCTTACAAAGTGTTAACAAAACAAATAAGGTCTTACAAATCATGAAAACTCTGGTGTTCTAAAAATAGCTCACTCAGGCTTTGACTTGACCAAGACACTCTGACCCAGCAGGGTGCCTGGTCTAGGATTCCTATATTTCTTTTTATTGAGACTTGGATGAGTTTGGCAGGCCGACTCGGCTGAGTTGGCCTTTGACTCCTGATTTCAGGTTTTTTAAACACCGGAACAATCATTAGAATCGAACTTTGGCTGGATAAGGAATTGTCCCAATTCAAAATAAAGAAACGGGATTTAGGATATGAGGTGCTTATTATTTTATGTTGTAATGATAGAATTGCTGTTTAGCCGACCCCAAATAGTTGGGAAAAGGCTCTGATGATGATGATAGGATTGCCGTTTAGATGTTATGTGGTGAGAGGGATTGAGTGGATCCAAAGGGTGGTGAATAAGGAGCTAACTCTCAACTAGTTATTTTGGGTCACAATTGACCACAATATGGATAGTAACCTTGTTGCACCTGGTTTTGTTGGTGAACTTTTCACATTGTAATTGCTTTCATATTAAATGCAGTAGAAATGCCCTCAATAAATTAATATTAAATACTAATTAAAAAAAAGAAAAGCAATTCCATGCGAAATATCTAGACCAACTAATGATAACTTTTTACATAGGAATGCAATTCTGGCTTTCCTTGGTTTATAGATCAATTTTTAGGTCTAAACTTAACTGTACCTTACAAACTGTATTCACATGGGTTTATGACATTAAAAAAATTGTAAATTATATCATTGGAAATGAATGACAGATGGGAGCACTTGCCCATGCTTTCAATGTTGAACTTTTACAAAGTGACCCATTTTCCATGAGTACTTCTTTACTCCGCCTGGTCACCGGTAAAATTTCAATAATTTAGCCAAAGATTTACATCCAAGTTATAGATCAAAGCTATACATGGATGACGGATGGGAGCACTTACCCATGCTTTCAATGTTGAACTTTTACAAAGTGACCCATTTTCCATGAGTACTTCTTTACTCCACCTGATCACCGGTAAAATTCCAATAATTTGGGCCAAAGATTTACATCCAAGTTACAGATCAAAGTTCTACATGGAAGAGATAGAGATGTATCATATTCATTAACCCATGTTTAGAAGAAATTTGTGTCTTTGTTTATTTTGGAGAGTGATTCTCACTTTGTTATTAGCTTTTTTTTTTTTAGATAAATTTATTAGAGAAAGGCGGCTTTAGTAATTCTAATGTTTTTAAGACCATCCCCAAAATTTAAATTCAAAGAAATTCCATTTGGATGATGTTGTTGAGGGTGGCATACGGGTATATGGGCATATGCAAGTATTTTGTATACTCTCATAGTGGAGGATGACTTCGTGCTACTGGACCAAGGTGCCACAGTATGGAAACCAAGTTACTTATGAAACATGTTCTCTCGCATTCCCTAACGTCTTGGGAGCTCATTTCCTCTATGTTTGAAAAGAGTTCCTCTCTCTACTTTGGGAGCCCTGATTATGAGATCTAAACAAAGCGTGGTCTTTAAACTCTCCAACTACAACAAGCTTGCATTGCATTCTAAAGCTCAAAGCTTGGCCAAGCTTCCTATACCAGAATACCTCCTTGGTAGAAGCTAGTCCCCAGAGATGAGGAAGTGAAGCAAGTAAGCAAAGCACTGAGCGAGCTGTGAGCTAAGCATCGAAGCGAAGCCTTTTCTTTTAGTATACTCACTTAGCTCCCTCCTTTCACTTCTAAAACTGCTTTCACTCCCTTAATGTAGGAGGCAAAGCAGCATGCTTGCCTTCCCTCTGTCTCTCCGCTTGAGTAACAGGGTTGTTTCCCCATTGTAGTGATGTAACCTAAGATTGGCCACTCACTAATCTTTGATTACGAGGCTATAAAACATGTTTGGAGAACACTTCTGAATTTATTCAAGGCAAATAGTCCGCAAACAGACGGTAATCATCCACAAAACTGAATGAACAAACTTGTGAAATCAACATACAGTTTTAGAAATGGACCCGGTTTCTATGCAGCCAAGCCCACATATGTAGAAATGCAGGCCTCTTGATAAATCTATTTTTGAGATGGATTTTAAGACTTATTTTTTAAGGACATGTAATGTCCAACATGGAGATCATGAATATACAAAAATAAATAAATTTTAAAAACTAAAAATAATAATTCTTGTAAGAAAATACTTGGACCGCTGGTTTCCATTATGTTTAGATGAAACACCTACTTGAGATGGATGCTTTATGAGATGGATGCTTTACATTTTCTGGACATATGCGGCCCAGAAAATGAAGCAATTTTCCTTTAAATTTGTTTAAATATCTGGGAGATGAGATTTCAATTTGTAATAGAATGAAATGTCTTTAAACAAAATCAGATTAACATACGTTGATCTGCAAATTTAATACTAGTCCATATCCTAAGAGAAGTTCTTGTAGAATAACTTTACATTAGCAATGAGGTTTGGGGGGATTTTATTGAGTTAATTCTAGGGAGAACCTTTTGGTTAATTTTAAGATTTTTGTTGGATTTTTAGTGGGAAATGTATGCTGGTTTTGAGGCTTATGATTAAACAAAAAATTAAGATTAATGATCATAGAACAAAATAGGGGAGAGAAAAAATAAGAAAGGAGGAACTATACTAAAGGCTCAAGTAATGAAAGGAGGTAAGAATGGAAAGAAAAGGAAAGAAAAAAATAAAAGAAGGGATAGAAATGAATGGAAAGATGAAAGAAGGGAAAGTAATGATAGATATGAATGAAAAGATGAAAGAATGGAAAGAAATGTCTTACTTCTCTCTATATTTCACTTTCACTTTTTCCTCTCTCTCTCTCACTTGCATTTGTATCGTTTTTTTTTCTTTTCTACTGCGCTCTCGTTCTGCTCTTTTTTTTTTCTTTTTACTACTCTTTCGTTCTATTCTTGTACATCTTTCTTCTTCGTTCTCTTCTCTCTCTCTCCTCTTCATTATAGTGCACTCTCTTCTCTTCTTTCCTTCAGGGGTTCTCTCATTTATCTCTCGAACCTCATCCACCCTTCCTATCTCCCTCTCTAACATTTTCTATATTTTGCTGGTGAGAAAATGGTAAATAGGTTGTCTCCTTGAGCGTGTTGAGCACCCGGCCTGTGGGTGGCCATGCATCTCGTTTTTTGATCTCTTGGGTTCCGAGCTCTCGGCTTGTCAGTAGCTGGACTCCCCTACCTCTTCTTTTGCTGTTTTTCCTTTTCTTCTATTCTTCTTGTTATTGGGTTCCCTTGCATGGGCTGCCTTAGACTCATGCCTCGTGAGATTTTTTCTTCTTTTACTCCTTGTCATGAACTTCTGTACATATATAAAGCGGATTTTTCCCCCCAAAAAAAAAAGAAGGAAAGGAAAGAGGAATGAAGGGAATAAAGAAAGGAAGGTAAGTTTTATGGTAAACAAGAGAAGAAGAAATTGAAGGGTACCTTGGAAGGGAGGAGCCTTAGGAGGTGCTACCAAGCCTTCTCTGTGGTCTTCAATCAAAGAGTTCAAGAAGCGTTTCCAGTATTTTTCTTTCTTTCCAAAGTTCTCAAAATAAACATTCTGTGGGCTAGACATCCCTCTCTCACCTTTTTAGACATATTAAGGACTTAAGATACCCCTAACTAAAATAAGATAATTAAATGAGCAAATGCCCCCTAAATTCTCTACAACATCCAAAAGACATAATTACCCCAATATTACTAAAATAATTAGAAGCTCAAATAACCCTAGTTTCACTTTCCAAACAAAATACAAATAAAAACCAAAACCCTTGATAAAAATTAAATTAAAAATTTCCAATAGAAGGCCATGATGCTCTCATCACATAGGCTTGTAGCTGACTTTGAGAGATAGGAGCTGAGCCCCCATGCCTCCTTTTGCAAGCCATGTTATGAGGCCTGCAGTGTGCAGGGACTGCCATGACCTATTATGAGGCTCACAACCAACTTTGAGGAGACTTGAGCTACTCTCCAATAACTATTGAGGGAAATTTACCTGGGAAAATTCAAGGTTTCCACACACCTCCTCAGAGGAATGATTGTGAGCTCTGTAGTGAGGACACTTGTATACTGTAAGTTCTTGGAGAGCACTTTACAATTAATAATCTTACGTTCTACACATGTGGAGGCATTTCTTAGGTGCTCCATTATGGAACATCGGCAACCATCCGTCTTCTGCTTGTACTATTGTTGCTGTTCCAACTGCTGAAAACTGATAGACACTTAACACTCATACATACTAACGTACATAATCGTTATATGACAAGGTGCCTATTACATAGTGGTGCCATAAGCCCCTCACATGAAAGAATCTTTTTGCTCAATTTCTTTTACATTTAGAGATATGTAGCTATGTAACTCAAAGGATCTTTTTATTTTTACTTTAATTATTATATGTAACTAAATGAGTTAGGCACTAACATGCTGTTCTTTCTCACGAATTGATTTTGCAAGATAAGAGATGGAACACCTCTTATACTGAGAATGATGCTAATGGGCCCCGTTTTGGCCTTATAGTAAAAGCTAAAAAACATTATTTTATCACTATATCAAAAAATGTGGATATTGTTCTATTTGATTAACCATTGAAGAGTGTCTCTTTTCATGATTGCCCCATAAAGGCAACTAATGATAAGGCTTGTTTCTGGGTACTAGGATGTCCAAAATGGGCCTAAGTGTGATGAGCTTCTTGAATGCAATGTCTTGAAGACCAGATTTGGCTAGAGAGTTTGATTTGTTGGGACCAAAACGTGCCCCTTGTTACTTCCGACTTGCTCATAACCCAAAAAAGTAGAGATTTGGTTGTTGCCTGTTCTATTGGCTTTAATGAACCTGCCTGTCCTGACCATTTTCCCGGGGTTTTTGATTCTGGCCTTTTGGGGTGGCTTTTTTGTCCTTTTTTGTTTTGATGTAGATCCTGAAGTACCAAAACCCCATTTACAAGTGACACTGGTAGCATAATTAACCTGAAGGACTTGTCCTTTATTGCTGGTGATTATCGGACACTGGCAACATGTCCCCTATCCCAATTTTCCTGTTCCAAACACTTTAAAACTAGGATATATGCCTCGTTCTTCCACTGCCAAATCCACTGCTGCCCTTGCCACCTTCACTAGAATGTCTCCATCAATGTTGTTTGGTTGGTTAACTTATTACCTTGATATCCTTTTAACCATTTTTATATTGGCCAAGCGAAAATGATTTGCATCAGCATCGCAAATTTTAGAACGTGAATTTTGGCTGGTGGAAGGCTTGCCAGGAGAAACATGGTCCGTGTGTAAAGTCAGTGATCTTTGACTTGGAAACTCTAAAGCGGTACATAACAAGGATGTTTAGGATAGTGATTACTGGAACAAGTTTTATTTCCTTTTTTGAGTTCCCAATTTTATTTTGAAGCTCCTTATTTCTTTTCTTTTTTGCTGGTCAATTCTTAAACGTTATTTATCTACTTGGGAAATTCCACGCTGATCTTGATTAATCTGTTGACCCAGATGAATAAGAGCTGGTATACAGCTGCGTGATTGGCATCTTTGTCCAGGTGACCTTGGGAGATGGTTGTTCTTCATCTAGTCTAAGAAACTCTCTAAGGAGTCTGTAATGTGCTATGGGAGGAGCCCTTCATCTCAATGTAACCGCTGTATAATTTTGAGGAATCCTTCTCCATTATGAGGAATTCAAGGATCTTTGATTCTTCATGGTAATAAATGTCCTAATCATATTGAGTGGGCCCACAGCCATGTCAACCCACCCTTCGCATAGTTCCTTCGCATCTTTAACCTTACCGTCCAAATCACCTAAGATTTATTTTTTATTTTTTATTTTTTGGGTTTTTTGGCAGGGATGCCGAGGGGGGGGATTTAAGTGAGAATCCTTTTCCTCTTTAACTATATTTATGAATTCTAGGTTCGTTAAGCTCATAATTTGTAACCATTTGCAACTTGTTACACTCTTAATAGAGGGATTCTTCCTGGTTGTAAAGCCTTGTTTTATTCTAGCTGCTTTAGGCCACTTATTGAGGAGAGTAATTCTAGCAATGTCATCATTCTGTTCAAGAAAGAATAACCTGTTCCCTAGAAACTGGAGTGTCTAGATGGATGTCATCTAACTCATTGCAAATGTGTTAGCTCCACTAGTTCTTAGAGAAGCAAACTCATTGGCACATTGGTTGACTGTTCTAGGAGTGGCTGCAGAAGAATTGGGCCTGCTGGTTTTCTATCTCTATATCCTGGGGTAATGTTGTTTATTGTAATTGTGTCTTTTTAGTGGAAATTTCTTGCAATCCAAAAGTGACAAATGATCACCTCTACAAAAGGATTGGGGCTGTGGGAATGCCCCTTTCTGTAGCGTAGGCTTATAATAATGTCATATTCCTCGTAGTCTATTTACTATTTGGTTAAAATCCTTAATGATCAACACGATTGTAGTAGATTGTTGTAGAAATTTATGACTGAAAATGTTAATAATAAGCATTTGGTATTGTAATGTAAGAGTTCTGTTAATCATTGATCTTGCTTTTAGTGCATGATGTTCTGTGAAATACTACCTATTTGTGTTAGTACAGTTGTGTGGACTCCACTTGTTCGTTTGGTGTTATTCATGCTTATTCCAAATGACTATCATTTTCTTTTTTGGATGTGGTCTTAATAAAGAGTCTGATGCTGTATATGGATGTCTGTCTTGGGTTTTGCTCTGCTGGATTTGTCTACACCCTGCATTCTTATTGCTGTGATTCTGTTGTTTGGACCATAGAAGTCAGCAACTTCCTAGTGTTTCAAATCATTTGCAACGGCGTTCTGGAAGTGTTTTGCCTCCACCGTTGGATGATTTCTGCTGCAATCCTATGGCTACTTCTGGAAAACCGTTGGTCAAGCCTACTGGTCATGTATGTTCTCTATCCTGCTCTTCTTTTCTTAGCATTTCCCTTACAAAACAAAAGCGTCTTTGAAGTGTCGGTGCTTATTTTTCTTATTCTTTTTTTTTTAAACTTATTGATGATTGGTTCTCATATTGCTTTCTGGTTTCTAATGTGGATTGAAATTGCTGATGCACTGGAACTTATTGGATCCAATGGTAGGCTACGTATCTTATTCTATGTTCTCTCTTTCAATCCAGACTCCTGTTAGCCACGCTAAAGTTTCCCTCTCTAATGGTAGTGCGGCAAAATCAAGTGTTCTCCCAGCTGCTGCCTCTTGGTAAACAAAAATTTCTTTGGTTCTCAAAAGTTAAAAGTGGTCCTAAAGGTTTCCTTTTTCTTATATCTTGATTGTGTATTCTAGGGGCTTGCGTGTTGTGCAAGGAAGAGCAGCAGCTCAGGTGCCTGTGAAGCTAAAGCCAAGCATATGTAATGGCCCCTCCGGGGTTGCAACATCATCGGTATCAGCAGTGCATGCAGATCAAGGGGACACCCCTATTTCTAGTTCAGAATCTCAAGCAATGCAATCAAACAGTATTTTGGGGTCTTTTGAATCTTCTAAAGAACATATTCTCAGAAGTTACCAAACATGTGTTTTTGATGTTGCTGTGGAGGCTGCTTCGGACGCACTTTCAGATCCTACCACTTCTAAGCTTTCCCCTCATTCTTTTTCTTTGCAAGACAAGACCGGGTTCACAAAGTTGCAGGCTTCTAGAGACAATGAAGACATTGAGAGAGAGTCATATGGCTCAAGTCCTGATGCAGCTGTTAATGGATGTTCAGCTATGGAGGGACACATGCAAAAGTTATGCTACGGAATGTCCTCGAGGAATCTCAAGGCATGTGTTGGAAGTGAAAAGGCTGATGTTGGCAATAGTGTTAATTCAGTTTCAGTTTATGATTATCTTTGCTCTACCACCCAAACACCAGAAATTCAAGTTGATGATACTCAACAGGATATTTCTAGAAATGATTTTGAGGATTTGTCCTCTGAACCATTGCGGCATGATGCCAAAATATCTAAAGGTCTATGTTTTGTTGAGGAGTCATCTGAAAAGTGTGCAGATTTTTATGGGCAGTCTTCACTGGGTAATGAAATGGATAATGATTTCCAAGCTGATGGTGCTCATGGGTTTCTGAACTCAGAAGCTTCTTCTAGTTTGACATATTTTCCTTCTTCATTCAGTCAACTGACTGCTGCAAATCATTCTACTTCTGGATACTGGGGCCCTAGTACCTTGAGTGCTATTTGTGCAGGTAGTTCAGTTGCTACAATTACTAACTGTGATAGTTTTTGTGATCACATATATTTTGCAGTTAATGAAGTTGTGTTGTTTTATTTTTTTTTGCAGAAGGTGTTCCACAATCATCTCATCATACTGAAATCGACAAGCCCAGAAGCTGTGCAACTGTACAGAGGGACAACATTGAAAATCCAGATCTGCTTTCTAAATTGGAGAACTGTAGGTCATCACATACATCTGAAGGTGACATTTTTGATGCCGACAGAAAGGGCTCTGTAAATACGAGGGAAAGCAACATCATAGAAAATATATTTTCCCTGGATTTTGATCCTTTTGATGATCCATTATCTTCTCCTCATGATTTGGTGAAATTATTGCTCAATGATAGTGACAAAAAAAGTGGTTCGTCAACACAATCCGCCGCTTGGAAACCTCAATACAATAATCAGTCTAGGTTTTCTTTTGCAAGGCAGGAAGATTGCATAAATCAATCAAGTGATATAAGAACATTGTGGGGAGATAGTGGGCATATGCAGTCGAGACATTTTGATCAACAGGAAACTATGGAGAGCAGCGAGACATATTTGAATAAATCTCTAAATGGTGTTTCTGCCTTGGAGAATTTTGATATTTTCTCCAGCAGCCGCGGTTATCTTTCTTCTAATAAGGTTCCTGGTGAGTATCCATGTTAACAGAATTTTCTGTGCCATAAAAATGTTAAGTTACTGGCTAAAATGCGTCATGCATTTATTTTCTGTCATAAGTGACAACTTATGTATTCAGATGCAATTGTTGCTATGTATGATTGCTTATTACCTTTTTTTTGCTTTTTCTTTTCTGGCTTTGGGCTATTTAGTATGCTTTTTGATTGTTGGCCCCGTAAACTCTTGACACCCAAGAGGAAGATCTACTTGGTCATTATTGTTGTTATGTTTTTGATAATAGTTCTATATGGATCCTAAAGCTGTGCACATAATTCCTTATACCATAGTTCATCGTACTGCATTCTACTTATGGTTATAAAGTTTTGTATTAAGATTGCTTCCAATACAACTTGAGTTGTCCAAAGTTCTTCCCTAAGCTTTAGGCCTATCCCACAAAGTTGGTGTTAGGAGCCATGCTAGATTCTTGCATTTGTTCATTCTTTTCCGTTTTTTTTCCTTTTTTTTTTTGAGATACAAGAGTGCCCTATCCTGTATCTCCATTCTACAATCCAAATAAAATTCTATGCCATCCAAACCTCATTTCCTCTTACTTCAGCATCTAGGATTTCAAAGGTGTCATCTACCTTCTCAACTGGATTAAAATGGGATAAGATTTATTTTCAAATTGTCTCTTGGATTGTTATGATTTGCAATGAAACATAATGTAGAATATGGCATTACAATGACATCCTTCTCTCTTACCTTAATTTCTCTTCCAAGTTTTTTGGTCAATCTCAAGCAATACCGAGCATCATCTTTCTAATATTTTTTTTGCCTCTACTCGCATCTTTTACATATTTTGTTGTTCTCGTGAAATTTTCTGTGGCATTCCTCTCCATCCAAACTGATTTGTGCTGCTAGTTAGGATACCTTCTTCCCTTTTTGAAAGCACCTCTCCAATGACTTAGATGACATTTCTATCTTCTTTGTTCGCTTAAACCACTATTTTACTGCAGAAATGATCTTCTAGTTCCATTATCTTATCTGAGATTTATTATTTCCCTTATCTCACGGTTCTTATTTTTCTTTGTTTGACTGCTTCCCATCTGGCCACAGTGAGCTGGGGCTATATTCTTGATTACCTTATGTCGTGTCCAATAATGAATGTTGAAACTTCCTCATTGTGCTTGGATTTATTACTTTCTGGTGTACCCGATGTTAGCTTTCCAAACAGAAATTATAAGCTACTCTCAGAATCTACACTGCCTAGATTCCAACATTTTATCACTGCAAAAGTGAAAAACGTAACCTGGAGAAGTCATGGAACCTAATGTTCTTGGTTTACTTGTTAACCTGGCATTGTTTTTGATGAAGCTGGACGTCTGTCCCCTATGTTGGCCTAACCAACTCACTGAGGGTCCCCTTTCTAATTGATGACATTGAGGTGTATAGCTGGGCCATATCAAGGGCCTGAACCCTCCCATAACCTTTACTACGGTGGTTGTAGAGATTACCAGTGTGTCGACAATGGACACCGGCACGATATTTATATCTAATTCCTTGAGATATTCATTTGGTTTTTTTTGATAGACATTTTTTCTTCATGTTGAACATGTGTGTATCAGAAGCAGTTATAGTATAAAGATCGCAGAAAGTCTTCCTGTTTTGGTGGCAGCGGAGATGTTCGTTTGATGTTGAAAATCTATCCAGTAAATTATGTGGAAATTTGTTTGTCCATTACACAGAATCGTTTTTTTTATCGATAATTCTATTGGTCAGAAGAGGCTTGAATATTAAAGGGATGAGAAATTCGAACACAACCCTAGTAGCTTTATATTGTTTGTTGGGAATGTGGGTGATGGGTGAAGGGCATCTGGATATGGTTTTGAGAATAGTTGTCATGATCGGACCGAACTAAACCGGTGGTCCGACCAGTTAGACCTCCAATTGGTGTCTTGGCTAGTCTTGTCCAAGATAAAAACTGGGTTTGGTCGAAAACTGGATAACACCAATGTTTGGCAGGTTTTGGCTAGTTGGACCCAGTCGGCTTTAATTGGTTCAACCAACGAAATGAAGTTGTGCAAGTTTTTTAGTACATTTTTTAACTATTGTATCCATTTTTCTTTCCTTTTTTCTAAAATCTGGTCAAACTAGTTTGACCAGTGGTCGGAATCACAGGTTCGGTGGCCTGTCTGATTCTGATAACCTTAGTCTCGAGTGTGGGATATAATTAGTTAGGAAGAAAATGGTTGGCTAATTGGAGTACATTGTTCGTAGTGTTAGAATTTCGATCCATAGTACCATATGGCGAAGAAATCAGATTATGGGCAGAGAGCAGTGTTTACTATTTCACTTATCTTGCCATCCCAGTATGTGGACTGTGTACTTCAAAAAACTTTAGCCGTGTAAAACTATAGTCATGCGTTACATGATGAAATGGATGGGTTGCATTTCCTTTTTGTTGTAGATGTGGTAAATCATAGGTTCTGTATAAAATAGAAAATGGAAAACTTCTAAATGAATTTTACGATTTTATTATCTAATGCATGCAGCTACCCTCTTTAAAGAACATGATTAGATGTGTCTCTATTTCAATTGCAATCGGTTTTTTTTTTTTATTATAAAAAAACATGATTGTTGCTTATTTCTTGTAAAATGTTAAAAAAATATGTTTCAGTTTTTCGTTTCTGAAATTTTGTTGTGTGCTTTTATAGTGAATTCTAGATCTCAGATTTCAGCTCCACCTGGATTTTCTGTTCCAAGCCATGTACCGCCTCCTGGGTTTTCATCTCAAGAGAGAACAGATCGACCTTTGGATTTTACCATTTCTTCTGGTTCGTCGTAAATCTACTTCGTTTGTCTTTGTGCTCTATATCTTTACAGAGACAACTCACTTGGAGCTCAGACCTCTCTATTTCATGTGTAACTCACATGTAGATTTTGTTTTTGTTTTCTTTCTTCATTTGTTGCAGCAAACCAAATACTCGAAAATATATCAACGACAAGAAATATATACACAAACTCACAGCTCAATGTGAGCCATGGTAGCTCTGGTGATGTTGAACTTATAGATCCTGCAATAATGGCAGTTGGTAAGGGGAAACTGCCTTTAGGAGTAGCGAGAAACCCCACTTTGGATCGTAGGGCTCCTTTTATTCCGCAGCCCTCTCCCTTAGAAAATGATGCAAGGTTTCATTTGCTGATGCAAAATTCCATCTCTGCACACCAGCAAATGAGATTTCCTGACTCAATCAGCGACAGCTTTTCAAACCTAACGGACCCTCACCTTTCCTCGAGGTTCTTGGAGCAAAGCCAAGCAGGTCTACTCTCCCCCTTTGCGCAGATACCATTCCAAAATCCAACCAGAAGTTCCCATGTGGCAAATTCTCAGTGGGAAGATTGGAGGGGAGTTCACCCTGTCAGGAATGGCGGCTTGGTAGATGTCACCAAGAACGAAAGACATAGGTATTGTCCCTGATCGCTCTGGTTTTGATGGGTAATCTAGGGTGTGACAATTGAAAGTTGCTCTCATTTTTTATCTGTTACAACTCTCTCTCTCCCTCATTCTTTTCCCTGTTGCAACTTTGGCTACATTTTGATCTATACTGGAGGAATACATTATATTATATATATGCAAAAGAAAGGAACTATCAGTGTATGCTTAGTTGCTTAACCATCCTTTTGTTTCTTTTGAATTCTTCTTAGGTATAGTAAATACTTTCCAGCCTACGAGGAGCACAAGCTTCACATGCCTGGTTCAGGGGATGTCTATAACAGGGCATTTGAGATGTGACTCAATATGCTATTTTTGTGACTTGACGATTGTTCAGGTCAAGAATGTGGAGTACATTGATGCGTAGTTGCTGCAGCCTAGATGTGATCTGCGATAGTCAAGTGCTGTGTGGTCCTTTGGCGGGGCAGTACTTTTATGTGTAGATTGAAGATTGCTGTTTTGAGTTCAGATGTTAAAACAGTTTTTTGGCAGCAAATGCTGGGGGCTCGTTTAATATCTGCAGGTCAGGGCTCAAAACTTAATCTATTCGTCTTCCTCAGTTTGCAAGTTTTTGTTGGTTGCATTCTTGATATTTGAGAAAACCGTTATCTTTGTAAGGATAAGTTGCAATGGAAAAATAATATTACAATCCAAGGGGAAATATTCTATGCCTGGTATAGGGGTATAGTGTTGGGTAGTCAGATCCAACAACCACCGTCCATATTAATCCATGGGCATTGGTTGATGAGTTGCCCACTTTTAGAAACTTCCCTGTTTTTTGGTGGAAACAGTTAACTGCACTGCCCAAATCCCACTTTAAAAGTCCCGTTTTTTGTGAGAATAATTACTCAACTCAACCATCCAAAAATTGGTATGGACAGTGATTGTTGGGTATTGACTACTCATAGCTGGTGTATACAGTCCCATAAACCCAAGTGTGGTTTTCCAGACTTCATTGATTCACACTGATACTTCTCTGATCGAACTACTTGTATATATTCGCTTAGCAGTATGAATCTATAAAGCTTAGAGAACTTGTGACGGTTTGACAAAAACCTAGGTTTGATCCATGCAACAGGACTATAAGAATCTCTAGGATACCGAAACTGGTGCCAAACACAAAAACTACAGAGTCATGGGCAAACTTTCTAGTTATATTTTAGAGTAATGATCCTGTAGGACCCTCCCCCACCTATGTGTGTAGGATCCCAAAGGATCACCATTAAAGTTGACACGGATCTCTAAAAAAGTTATCACATGGGTGTGGAACTTGACTTTTCTATAGATCCGTGCCAAATTTAATGGGGATTCTTTGGGGTCTTACACACATGGGTGGGGGAGGATCCTATAGGATCATTTCTCTATATTCTAATATATTTAGTTGTCTGCTTTAGTCATACACTTTCTAGACTCAAACTGAAGTTTGAGATTTACCCTTCATTTTTCATTGCTGATTTAAATGCTGAAATTAGAAAGGATTATATTATGGATTAACCACTAAACATCACGAATTGTATGTTTCCTTTTTTGTTCACACTTACTCGGCAAGTGTGATGCAACATGTTTGTCTTTGTCCATTTTCGCCCTCTGCTTGTTTGTAAAATAATCCACCTAACCTCATGAGACAGCTATTCCATTTTGTGTTTTTCACGCTACTTGGGGAAGTATTTGTCGACATGTTTGTCTTGGTCCCATTTCTGAACCCCGCTTTGTAAAATGCTGCAAATTGCCATTAAATTCAACGAACCTCGCACCAAAAAAATACCTGTTTCGCCTTTGATCATGATTAGCACTACGCACTTGATCCATCCAAACTCACCCTAAAGTGTGAACATATTCACCTTTCTCAATTTTAACAAATTTTAGCATTAAGTCAGTCATATACTGTTGTATTGCTTGTGAACACCATTTTGGCTTTATATGTTGCAGACTTTCTTCAATTGCTCACAACTTCTTGTTCCCTTCGGGCTTTGGGATTCGGGGATTATGCAGCATGTCATCGCAGTTTCATTTTGAACGGTGTGCCAGCTTATGTGTGCAGATCGAGGGACAGAGAAAGTGGAATTTGTTTCTTGGAGACTATACAGTGTTCTTGATGGAGTACCTTGTCGTCCTTTTTTTGGGAGGTTAATCCACTGCCATTGCTTATGCTTGTTATCAAATGTAGATTTTGTACATGGATCTTATAGCTTGTAATGGAATTCTCTTGCCTCGCACATATGAAAGATCGATTGATAGATAGAATGCAGTTGTCCCGAATCCTGAATTTTAGAAAAAGAACAGTATAATGAGTAGCCCGTGCACTCTAATCATGTTATGTTCGCTATGATCTACACTTAAAAATCATTGTCAAACCAATATGTGATAATGATGGCCCGGCCTCCTGTGTTTCCCAATTCATATTGTTCGTCGTGCATTGTACCACGGCTGTTTACTGTGTCACGAGTGCTGTTTCTGAACTTGTATCTTTTTGAGTGACTACAATTTACCCCCATTACAATGACAAGAACTTCTTGGAGAAATCAGGATCTTTTCCAAATGATTTGATCATCTTGAGTGCTTGCCTCAGATTAAGAAATCTTCTGTTGTGGACCATGAAGGCACCATGGATAGGCAATCAATGGATCACAAAATTTGGGTCTCTTCCTTTTGAGATAAGACGTTTGTTGAGCCATTAACTTGATTCTGGTTTCCCACAGTTGGAGCTTCCTCTTGGAAGGTTTCTTTGTGTACCATGGAGAGTGACTTCTATGAGGCCTCCTGGAACATATAAGTTAATATGTGACCCTACTTCTTAGCCGTCCATTCGATCTAAATTGAACGGTTACTATTGTTCATACCTCAATGTCATATTAAACATTGTATTATTTTTCGTTTTTTTCCTACAAAATATTTTTGGATGAAATTTTGAGCGTCCCATCATAAAATTTGGGAAAAGTCAATATTTTTTGAAAAGATAAATAACCAAAATGCCCCTATAATTTTCAAGGGTATTCTAGTAGTGGAGTTGGATGCCTTCGTGGGGGTAGAGGTACGGTGCCCTTCAAATTTTGTCATGGTATATAATTTTGATGTAAAATGTTATTAGGATTATCTCAAAATCTATTTTTATAAGTAATTATAAAATTTTAAATTTTAAATTTTAAAGATGGTTAAAATCAAGTAGGTCTATAAACATATAAAAATATTGAAAATGGATGGTGTAGATAATATGTTATAAAATATACTATTTTTGAGACTTAAAATCTTTTTATTTTTCATAGTCATACATTACGATGTGGAGATGATCAATCAAAGGGTTTTTCAACATTAAAAACTACTTTTTTCGATGGATTTTTGAGCGGCATTTGTAGTTGTATATTATAAAGTAGTATTTTATATAAACTTTTTACTTCTAGTAGTTGTTCATTACTTTTATCATGTGCGCCTTTGGCAGATCTATGCATGCACTAAATTTTGTTTTAAAATGACTTATAAAATAAAAATAAAAAATGAAAAACTCTGAGCCGTCCGATCAAGACTTGACGGTTAAAAGCCAAATAAAGGAAAAATTATAGATATTATTCTGATTTGTATTTTCTAGGTATAGCGTCCTTCTTAATACTTTTTATATATCACCATATACTTCAACACGGTTTGTTTTTGCAATTGTCCCTTCAAGTAAAAAATATATTTTGGATAAAAATACCCCCTTGTTTTAACCCATGTTTCTCTCCTAAAATGTTATGCTTGGCATGTCCTATCTGGCATAAAAATGTGTTGAACTAGTTTTTGATCCTCAAAATGTGTCGTACCCGCTTTTAACAAAATGTGCTGGTTTGACACGCCAGACTAGCTTTTGATGATAAAATTGTGCTGCTTTGGGACCTTTGGAATTGTATCAGTCGGGACCAACTTCTACATTCATAATGTGCTGGTCCAACACATTTTGTGACGGACCAGTGTGGAGAGAGAGTTGGAGCGTGATAAAAAAAGGAAATGTAGGTTAAAATGGGTTTAATTTTGTCTAAAAAAATTAGAAAGATGTACAAATCAGTTGATTCAATCTCCACCCACCAATTTTTTTGCCAACATTTGCCGCATGGATCTTATAGGGGTCAAATGGGTGCCACTTGATTTGCTGCTTTCTATAAGGGAGTTGGAAATGTGCCTCGGCTGACACTT